ATTTGGCAGGGCTGGGTTAGCAATTGGACTTGATTATCTTAAAGGTTTTTTCCAACCTGAAAAATTCTATGATTCTGTACTTTTGACATAAGAAATCCAAACGATGACAGTAACGTGCTATTCAGTGCCCACCACATTGCTGCTGCTAGTTATCCAAAAGGAAATAGTGCAAATACAGCAGAATTCAGTGCAAGAGTAAGCAACAGTGCAGCGTAGTGGATACCACCTAGATTCCCAGGGACACTGGACAGCATTAACTGAGGATTTTATCCTGTACAGATTTATTTCAGACACCCTCCAGAAAAGCTCTGTATCCTCCCACCTAGATCTTACAAATTATAGCAAAAAACCCCAAAACAACAACAACAACAACAACAAAAAAAAAAAAGATATTTAGAGGATCACCAGAGGCCTTCATATACATCGAGAAACATCCTTAGGTGAGAAACCAGCTTTTCAAGGTGTGCTATGACTGCCTCATCCACTAGATGGTTTCAGCACAACATCCAAAGAAGGGAATCATTTGCTGCCTGATCAGCAAGCATTTGGAAAAAATCATGTAGCAGTTGAAACAGTTCCACATGGAAGAGATTTACAGAACCGGAACTTTCCAAATGATTTTGAGAGCAGCAGTCCTGGATATTGAATGAGACACAGGACAAAAAAAAAATCATTCAGTCCTTCAAGAATTTGCTAAACCACCTGCACCACAAACACAGCCCTCAAACAGGAGCAGGGGCAAACAGCAGATTCAAGGCAGACTTAGTAGCAAACCCAATAATCATCTAAATAATCAGTGTTACTCTAACATCTACTCACTTTTCTTTTTCTTGGAGGTTTCCTTTCTAAGCACTACCCAGACTAATTCTCTTTAGCTTGCAAAATCGGACAAGATCACAGCCTGAAGGGGAAAGGCTGCGGTGATAAATATTTAATGAGCTACATCAATAAAATTTATTTTGCCAAGGAGAATGGAAGGAGAGGAAAAGCAGAGAAATAATTCATGAAAAGAACTTCAGCTTAGCAATGCCAGAAAAAAAGCCATGCTAGGAAAAAAGGAATTAAACACAAAGAGGTTTTAAATAGGTCAGAAGCTTAAGTACTCTTAACACATGGCAAAGTGACAAAGAGCTGAGTTTTTCAAAATGAGAGTACAGTGGTATGTACACTTAATAGTAACTTATCCCACTGCAAATAAATATCCCTGGGCACACTAGTAACAGTTTCAGCTTCTTGCAATACTCCGTATCATCCAACCCTTGAGACCCGTTTAGCACATGAAAGCGTCATTGCTCAAAACCCATTAAGAAATGCAACAAGCACCTTGAGGTTTCCTTTATTTCTCAAGGCAAAAGTCTTCCCTATATAATATTTGGCAGGGCAGTAAGTTATGTTTTCCAGAAGACAAAAACGCAACAGCAAAAATTAAGGTGTTTAGTACAAAGCTTAAAACATCCTCGTGCTGCAGTGCTCCCCACAACTCGGGACGGAGCCTAATATTTGCAACTTACATTACAGAATTTGCAAAAAGAAATGTCTAATCTCTCCTTCCTTCCTACCATTATTTGAAATCCCTTGCAGTGATACAAGAGTATACAGCACCTTGGTATGCCTTACACCACCTTTCCCATTTACTCTTCTGCTCCATCCAATCTGGACCTCTTACAAGCAGACATCAGCAGGATGGGCAAGACAAACATCAGAAACTGTTGTGTTTACGCTAACTAAACAAGTCCAGGACCCATTAATTCTCAAGTTCTAATTCTAGATCTGCTAATTACTTGCTATATGGCTTTCACTCACTGGATTTGGGATTTTTTTTAATGGGTAAAGTGGAAAAGCACATACTGTGCAACGAGGGGCATGGTCTCAGGACAAAGCAGATTAAATTGTATTAAAATACTTCACAGCTACTCCAGTGAGATTTGGTAAAAGACAATACATTAAAAAAATCTACCTTTTTGGAAGTCTTTGATTTAAAATGTTTTAATAGTTTTGTGGCTGAAGTCCCACTACTTAAGACCTCCCTAACAGTGAAATACAGAGATGATAAAAAAAGCGAATTGTGTGGCTAACCACAACCAAAACCTCACTCATCAGCAGCGCTGTCGAGAGGATAAACTGCTCGGTAACATGAAGCAGTCAAGTCCCCAAATGCGTGATTAAGTGGTGCCCTCTAGCGAAGTCATAAACCAGTTTCAGCATCTAAATTTCTGAAATCCAACAAAATCTCAGTCTGAGCCAGATTCGTTTGTAACAGAAGAATCCTACAGAAAGCATCCTAACGTGTGCTTATGATTTTATCTAACTCTTCTATACTAGGGTCTTTAGTTTAGGTTTAGCACTGCAATAAGGTTACAGACTGTAGCCAATTTAACACCTCCAGAGCATATTCTGCTTCTTCCTCCCACTTGTGAAATCAAGTTCTCATCTTATGATGAATCACTGGCAAAGCCATTTTAAAAACCCATTACATCAGGAAACACAATATTCTATTTTTTAAAACAGTATGACAAGAATTTAACAATAGGCTTATCTATTTAAAATTTTTGACAGGGTTCTAGAATTACCTTTCTCATGCTCAGAGTAACTTTTTTGTAATGCCACTTTCACTGAAGGCTTAATGACTTCACTACTGGATACTGGAGTACCTTGGCTCTTGACGTTACTGCCCGAAAAGCTCCCTCATGTGAAGTGGACAGATGTATTAGCCACAATTTATTCTCAAAGCAGGGTTTTTATTGTAGCAGATTCCTAGTCAACTTCTTGTTCATGTATTTAAAAAGAAAGAGGTGGCCACTTCAGGAACAAAGTGATCAGAGGTGTGATATTGGACATCAGATGAAGCAGCAGCAACTGCTGTAAAGCAGCCCTTGTTAGGTGACCCTCATGGTATCAGAATTTCACAAATGATTTAAAAATCAAGATAGTCAGGATGCTTTACTTTCACAGAAAGGTAAGAATGGGGTCTTCCTTAAGAATTAAAACCACATCAGATACCGTTGGTTTTGTGACACATAGGGCGCAGTAAGCACAACCGGGGGTGAGGTTTCTCGCTTTTTGGTTGAGGCTATCTTTAAGCTACTGCTGGCCTACTAAGTTGGGCTGAACTACAATGCCTGCATCAACAGCATTTCAGGTTAATTTGCTCCTCCAGTCAGCAAAATGCTGTTTCCAACTCAGCCTCAAATGAACCTGGCTGATGGAAAAGCTCAAGGTAAACGCATGGAGCAGAGGTTAGAGTTCACACAAAACTGACATTTTCTGTTTCAGCACTGGAATACTTCACGTGCTCATCATAACTAAAGACATCTTTAAGCATTTCTTGAAGACATTGCCTTGAATGCCAACCGTTAAAATCTACTTAGTCATGTGCTTACACAAAATATTGGAAAAAGTTGAAACCACTTGCCTGGAAACTTAACAGGTAAATTTATTAAGGGAACATTCAAAACCACAGATGTTATATTAGTATTTTTGAGCTTCCATATAAAATAAAAAATACTTGTTAGATTATGTCAGCGTACTTGACATTCTTCAAAACATTTAGCCATCACAAAATTTTATGCAAGCTTAACATGCAGAAGACATACCTGCTTCCAGTCTGAACGAGCTTAGCTTCCAATCATTAACACATTTGGGGTCAAACAGAACTACTGTATTACTGTCAAGACTACAGGCCTTTCCAGTTTCCCATGAAGAGGTTCAAGTGTACAGTAAAATCGTATCTGCACACAAGTTACGCTTCAAATTTCAGTAACATAATTAAATTTGAAATTATGCAGACTTGTGGGGGCACACTTACACGACTTCATAACAGGATCAAGCCAAATATCTGCCAGCCTACAGCTGGTTTTGAACAACACTGCCTGTGAGTTTGATTTAAATATATTCAGATTTTTAAAACTGCAGTCAACAGGACTGGGCAGAAGTTTAGTTGAACTACTAACTGTCTGCAAGAGTATGATTAGAAAAGCTGAGACTGACAAGACAAGCCTGAATCTTGCCCATCATGGGGAGGCTACTACATGAGTGATCCAGACAGAACAGTTTCAGATTACAGAATACTAAGAACTTCTTGTCAACATCTATAAAGAGCAAAATGAAAATAAGGTTCCTCAACACAATGTTGTCAACAGTTCTAGTGCTACTTTTACCTCAGTTACTGGTCCATTTTCTCCTGTATCTTCTTTTAAAAATCTGAGTAATGTTTCAGCCTGAAGGAAACAAGGAGTTGAGACAGATTTAAAACTTTTCAGTACCTGTTGAGTGAACACCACAAAAAAAGCAACAACTACTCAGCAGTGTAACTTTGAGTATTCTTGGCTAACCTGAAACACAGATGTACCAAAAGAGAGCAATCATCCACATGCTAGATTTACCTCAAGTGCCATTATAACATGCAGTTCAAGTTCAAATAAATGACAAATCACAAGATTTACCCACATTTTTACAGACTTGCTTGGGAGTCTTTTTGTAAACTCTGCTTTGTATCACAAAGTTAACTTAATTTAAAAAAAGAAATATTCCTGGCTATGAGCTGTTACTGCTCCTTACCTCTGACCACAGCAGCAGAAAAAAAAAAAGCCCAACACCTCTCCCTTCTCACAAGAAGGCTAAAGTTAAGCTGATGTTAGTCAGGCATCAATGAGTGTGAGTTCCACTTTAAATCTAGGACCCAGCAATTTTAAAACCTGCTCCAAGCTCCCCTGCTCAAAGTAGGGGGGCTACCCTGGACCATCTCCAGATGGCTTCTGAGTATCTCCAAGGATGGAGTCTCCACAACCTCTCTAAGCAACCTGTGCCAGTATCTCCAAAGACAGAACAAACATCCGTATCTGGCATGGGTTAACACTGAAGCACAGATCTTCTATTAATCCTCTAAACAATTTTTTTAACAGGGAAAGCATCCAGTATCTGGCTATTTACATCCTAGTTATTTCAGAAAACACCAACAGTTTTAATGGGGATGTCTGCATCAATATATATCTTATAATCAGACAATAAACAAGGGTCTCTCTCCAGAAAGGAAAGCCAGCTCCACACTCAAATCACCAGGTGAAATTCAGATCACAAAGTCAAACTTTATCATTTACCAGTCATCTAACCCATCTTACAGAATATAAACACGTCATCTGGGATTAATGAACCTAACTTAGTACATACCTAAATAACAAGGCTTTGCCTTTGTTGTTTGCTACAGAGAAAAAACCACTTCTGGGAGAAAAGTCCATAGATTGAGCAAGATAGATCTGTTTTCTTCTGAACACCGGGAAATTTGAGAATACAGTATACGAAGGAATGTGTACCTGTTGAGAAACAGGTCATCAGTTATAACAGTTGGGAAAAAGCCACTGAAATTCAAATTAAATACAAACTTTAAAATTGAAAGTCGATGTTAAATTCAAATGTTCAGTTACATTTCTATCCTACACCATTCTATATCTAGAGTTCTACTGGAGAAAAGGTGCAGGGAACATACTACGAAGCCAGTTACTGCAACTCATTTATTTTTAAGTAATTACATCTAAGCAGTAGAAGTAGGCTTCCAAGCTCCCAGATTAATTAAGTAATTGGCCACAATTCTGACAAGGCTGGCAAAATTTTGAATGAGCTAGGAAAAGCACCACATAGTAAGAGTGTTACAGTTAACAGCTGTGGAAAATTCACATTTGTTGCTGAGTTGTATTTACAACACTGAAATAAGGGCTAAAATGCTAAAGGACTAAGAAGGGAAAAACAAAAGGTAAACTAAACCATAATATGTTATTTTCAGAACAACTTCCCTGAAGAAAAAAAGAATTATTTTCTCATAGATGTACAGTATCTTGTATGTCCTGATCTGCTTGGTCTAGCAAATTTTTCTCAGTTTTATTATGTCACCAGCAACATTTTTTAATCACAATACAAAAAACCTTGTACTAAAGAAGGTGAACATACCAATTTGACAGCCTCATCAGTCTCGCGGGAAGCCACTGCCAAAATTTCCGTGGTGGGATTGAAGGTCACACATGTAGCAGATGTAACTAGGTTCATTATGGCTTTAACTGGTTTAGGGTGGTTTTGTTTGAGACAGACATCAGTAGTATATAAATTTACAACTCCAGAAGCTGAACTAAAAAAAAAAAAAAATTACCTAAGACTATACCAAGACAACATTTACAGTATATACTACCCTGTAATCTACACCCACCATTCAACTAAAAATGTAATTTCCCATTATTTATTGGTGTTTGCAACAATATTTTGTTTGGAGCTTGATTTTGCTTTGGAGTTTGTAATGGTATTTAGTGGAGGGCTTTGGGTTTTCTTTTTATTTATGTACAAAGACACACTCAACCGTGGAGAGCCTCAATAAGCCCATCTCTTACACAGAATAAATTCAAAGCAATGAGAGCTTGGTAGCAAAAAATTCTGCAATAGTTTAAAGCTTTTTGATTTTTTTTTTTTATACCCTATAGAGTAAGTCCACTTAAAAATACTCTTCTACAGTGGGCTAACAAAATGCATACTGTACTTAAATATTTGCTAGTATAATTTAAAAGACTGAGATGCAACTACAGCTAGCATATCAAGTAAGTATAGTTGGAGCAACACTTTCAAGCTTGTGGCTTTGAGTTGAGGCATCTTTTCAAATGCTAACACGCTATCTCACAGGAGCCAAATTAGGAGTACAGGAAAGAACTAGACTGGGGGAAGACCCTGAATTGACATTTGTACTACAGAACTTGTGATTTCAGTCACTATGATTTCAAAAATAACTGCTAACCCCATATATGGCAACAGCAACACATCAGGAGTGATACTGCCATTAACTGTGTTATGCTATTTTTAGATATACATGGAACAAATTAACTTATCATAAACCAGACAATATTCATCTATTCACCTCTACTCCAACCTTATTAAAACCAAATTTATTCCATGTTCCTACGTTCTTAACAGCCACCAATAAGTTCCCTGAAGAGCTTCAAAATGAGATAGGAGGAAGTTGTCAAATCCAAGGCACTTACCCACATGCCACATACTGGTTATTTTTTGAAATAGCAATGCACTTTCCTTCCAAAGAACCTTCATCTTCAAATTTGTGTAGACACTTTCTGCTTCTCACATCCCAAATGAAAACTTCACCTTCCTCTGGTTGCAGAATAAAGCAGAATATTATAGAAACCATATGTTCTGTAGAACACATTGTTTGTCTGTTTTGTTAAAATAAATTTCATCAGATGACAACTATTAGATCATTTGTAACTATCAAATAGAATATTTAAAAAAAACAACTAAAGGCATACTAGAACAGTTCACTCCATTCCTTAATGACTGATCACTTGGTTGTATTTTTCAGCCAGATACTGGCATAAAGTCTTTTAATTATCTTTCTAAAACAATAAATAACTTTAAAAACTTAGGCAATTTAAGTGGAACTATGGTTAGTGCCGTTAGAGAGAATACTTACTTGAATAGCTATATATTTTACTGCTGTCTGGAGTGAAAGCAGATGCAGTGCATCTTCCGTTTACCTTCATAGTGCTAATCAGTTCCTTTGTCTATAGGATGAAGAACAACAATGGTGACAATGACTCTGCCAAAAATCTGTAGGAAAGTTGTTTCCATACTCCTGTCCCACAAAAATCTCAAGTTAGCTATGCTGACATTAAAAGAACAGCACCAACATTTTCCTTGCCTACAATCCAGAGCACTAGCTGATGCTCATGAGTCTATGATCAATTTATTATTGCACAAACAAGTGTTCAATAAACGCTCATTTGCTCCCTCGCTGAACAGTCTTCATTATATGAGGGAACTGAACTTTCTTTTTTAAAAGTATTTTTCCTAGTAAAAGTTTAAAACAAATCCAGCTGGCATCATTCGGCATTTTAAAATTTAACTGAAAAAATCTACACGCATTATGAATCACAGTATATAGCATGATTCATGAACACAGCACACCAGCATGCATTAGTGCTATTCCCAAAAGAGCAGTCCTATATTTCTTCCGCCCTCAGATGTCTGTTTCCATGCTGAGGCCATTCCTTTTGCCAGCACAGTGTTTTTGTGCAATCAGCCAAAATACAACATTGACTTCTGATGATAGCTTAAAAATCCATGAAACCCTGGCCTCCGCTCCACCAGTCCCAAACAGAACTGCATAGTCAGAAAAAAAAAAATCTCAGATACGCCAAAATAATTTTCTAAAGCTGCAGTTATTTGATCCAGCAGCTCGTTTTTGAAGGCAGTCACAGTATGTGTCATACCTTTGTTTCAACTGAAAGCTAGATTGCTCTTCAGATTAAATATAAACAAGCAGCTTCAGAAGGAAAAAGGTACCAAGAAACTGACTATAAATGAACCACGAAGAGAAACTACCTTCATTGACAACAAGTGAAGGTAACCTGAAGTTCCTGTTACAAGCATAAATGATCCATCTGGAGAGATTTCGAAGCTTCTGAGAAATCTTTCCTCCACACCTTTAAAAAGAGATTCAGAAATTCAAATTGGCATAATTTATTCTTTTTCCTCAACATTCAGAGGTGTGATGAATATGAACAAGACCAGATTCTGCTTCAGCTTTTCATTTCTGTAATACGCTGTCGCAGTAAAGCTAGAAGTCAACCTCATTTATGTATCACAATTAACTTTTAATCTCCCAGGCAAACTAAAGCTGAAGGTACTGGAGTAAAGATCCCTGAAGACATGTTAAAAATACAACCTCCAACAATTCACTGCACTTCCTTTTAAAGCAAATTCATATGCCACCTCTATTGGGGACAGCTTCAACCATGCCCAGACACTTACAGTACTGTAATACATACCTCGTACTTTCTGTATAGGAATAATACTTCCACTCATCATGTCATACACAAAGAACATTTTATGGTGAGTACCAGTGGCTATAACTTGTTCTCCATCAACACTGAAACAAGCCTTATAAATTGGAAAACTCTCTAAATAGATGCTCTGTATTCTTGGATTCCTTACACCATCAACCTTCAAAAAAAACAGATTATCATATTAAGGAACATACCAAATACTTACACATAGAGAATTCATATCAACTAGCCAGTACAAGAGACTTAAGCAGTAAGAGGTACACCAGTTTGAAGTATTAATCTCTTCCCCTCTCCTCAATCTACAAATAACCTGGCTCTTGGCTCCTCACCCTTATTTATCAGGCACTCCCAACCTTCCTGGATATACTTCACACCTCTTACCTTTCCCTATCTTGCCCATGCTTTGTTCAGATAATCACTTCTATCCGTGCTTTTCCAAACAGACACATTTGCAGCCCTGTGGGAGCGTCAAATTCCACTTCTGTCTTTGACTATTTCACTGATACTGGGCCATGTTGAAAGTTCCTAAATGGAGTTATGATCTTCAGTTTTCAGAGGAGGAGGCCAGGAGCATCCCAGGATGAGTAGCTTCCTGCTGCAGGACAGTCTCTCCAACCCCAAAATGATTTCACAGCAATGTTACAGTTTTAAATGAAAAGTGGACTGCTCCCCACACTATAGGCTTTACAAACAACTTAAGAAAAAAAAATCTTGTTAGTCCTTGTCACTGCAAACCTTAAAAAGCCAAACATTTTAAAAAACAAATCTTCAACTAAAAGCTTTGATACAACTAAGTTTGCCTATGCTCTGTAAGTGGTTGGTATGAAGTCACAGACAGCAATTTCTTCCAACAAGATGCCTTCAACCAAGCAAATTCCACTGTAACCACAGACATTACAACCCCTGGGAGCACACCATCACAGGAAGAGAGAAAAGAAAGTCTATTGATCCAGGCTATCTCACATGTAGTTATAAAAAACCATTCTGTATTAGTAGCCATTTATATAGCATAGATTGAAATTCTTCACCTGAAAGAGTGACACAGATCGATCATGTCCAGCAGTCATGACTACTTGAGCAGATGGATGAAACTGCACAGTTGCCAGTTTTCCATCAGCAAAACGTTCCTGATTAGCAGGCAAGCAGGTACTCATCTAGAACACAGATCAAGCAGTTAAAAAAATACAACTTCCATACTTTTTGCTTTGGCTGATGAACAGCCAACTTAATAGCTCTTTATTCTCCAAGAGCAAGTCTCAAACCCGCTTAGACATAAGCAGAACATGCACACAGTAAGCTTGGTAAGTTGCTTCAGCGCAGCAGTGTAGACCTAAGATAAACTGGCTAGCCTTTCTCCTGGCTTCAGAATTAAGTCTACATAAAACCAGTTGCCTACTGACTCATGTGAAATAACTTTAGAAGAGACAGTGTAAGAAACACTCATTTAAGGCTGTCACTGCTCAAAGACCATTTCAGTAGCCTCACAGCTGTGGGAGAATCTCACCCTTCCAATGCAGAAATTAAAAACCTACCACAAGATGCCACTTCAGAGTACATAAAATAATTCTATGTCAAACAATACATCTCATTTCATTGTTTCATGCTTTATGATGTGAACTACCCAATTTGCCCAAACTCTTTATAGAGTTTCCAGTTACAGAAACAAAGAAGAAATTCATGTGATCACTAATTTTACTGCCCGAATAGCAACAAAGAAATTTAAGTGTGCATATGGGTCAAACGGAGGTGGAAAGACAGGCTTGCCTTTACCTTCAAAATACCTCTTGGCAGGTACTCTGAGTTTGATATGAAATTGCCAGTCCTACGTAGCAGATCATCATCTTCATCACTGTCACCTAATTAAGACAAAGCACATTGAAAAGGCTAATTCCACAAACACTCCCACATTGAAACCTACAAATTCGTCACAGAAACAAATTAAATCAAAGCACACTGAAAGAAGGAAGGAATAAAGCTGACTTATCCAGCATATTATCACACAACTGAAACTGAGAAAACACCAAAAATAATTATTTTCTAAGCAGCTGAATAGGTAAACATAGAAACGCTTATTAGAATAGTAATGGATTTACTTACTATCACTTGCAGTCTTTTTGGATTTCTTCCTGTTTTCTAAATCAGCCCAGGCAGGAACTCCTCCCATAGCTCGCTGAAACCTAGGAAGAGAAGGGTGAGGGTGGGAAGAAGAAAAAAACCACAGCTTTTTTGAGAAAGAAATTTCTTTCCACGTGTTAAACACTTACAAGATGTACAGTCACAATTTCGCAAGATTGCACTTAGAACACACTGCAAGTGTTTTAAAAATTTCACTCAGCTTTTTGTGTTTTACCGACTTCCTGAATGTAAATGTAAAGCAAAATTGATACCAAACATTAAAGCACCGTCCTTTGGAGCAATACATGCCAAAACCAAGACAACCCAAACCCACATAAAGTTCTGCTTTGCTATCTGACTATACTCACATTTTAGCTCATTCTTATATACCGTACTAAGTTAGCATCTTCCATCCTATTTACAATGTAATATTGTCACTATTAAAAACTTCTGGTATAACTCCCTAGAAGAAAATTGGTTTGTGTGCCTCTACTATAATAAGTATTAAACAAATGAGTCTAGACAATGCTAACGCACATTTTATTTACTATTCTTTGTACTGGTTTGGATTTAAAAACACTGCAACTATTACAAGGAGCACTAGCTTTAAACAGGCCACACAAACACAGTGGCTAAGAGGAAAGCGACCTTCAGTGTACGTACATACACCTTATGTCATCTCAGTTAAGTTAGCCATAAAAACATGAATGCAACTTACTGTTCTTCGAGTCTTCTTTTTAGCTTTTTCTTAGTAAGTACCTTCTCAGCATCACTTTTCATGAAATCTTTCCTATACTTATGGGTCATGTCAACACTAGCGGGAGAAAACACACAGAACACGAAGATGATTCAAACTGAAACCACTCAGAGGCACTCCTAAGCACAACACATAATTCCTACCTGCAAACTTGAACTTACTTTTCCTCAGCTTCATCATCTTCATCCACCCAGGCTGGCTTTTTGGACAAGCAGTTACCTTTTGCTTCGTTTTCTACTTCCGAATCACTGGACTCTTTCTGGAGACTTCTCCTCCCCGTAGCGTTACGCTGAAAACAACCGAAGAGGGCATTTTAGCCCAGCCACGGCTTGGCGGAGGGCGATGACAGACACGGCGACGGGGATCAAGCAGGGGTAAGGAGCCGAAGCAAGCGCCAGCCCC